ATTAGAAGAGACTCTTAAGACTCGGTATACTATTAGTTCGATCCGTTTCTCGTCCAATTCCATTGGTTGTCGTTGGATACAGTGAAAGATAAGCGCTTGTAATGCCCGGAACGAATGATCATAAGGGAGTTCCACGATATTGATATGCACCTGCATTGTAGGAGATGTTTTGCAAGTAATCTTGAATAAAAGTTGAAAATTAAAGAAGTTTGTTTTTATGTTTTAAAAATATTTTAAAAAATTAAATTTTTTTTATTTTTTATTTAAATTAATAATTTTTTAGTATATTTAGATAATTTTAATATATTAATATCAAAAATAATTTTAAAAACTATCGAACTTTTAAATCTCCTTTCCAACCATTTCCCATCATTGTTCGAAGAAAAGGTCACAAGGACTACTTGAAGGGAATTAATTGATTTGATATGAAATTTGCTTAAGTTGCTTAGTATATACATGATAAATAACACATAATACTTAATAAACCTTTTTTAAATGAATTTCTCATTATAACATTTTCATTGTGAATTTTTTTATATACATTTCACATTCAGATATCTAAATTTTTTAAATTAAAAAAAATATAAACTTTATAAAACTCTCAACTTCTTAAACTAGATAATCTTACTTATACAACTTTTTAAGTAAAATTTGATATATTTAAGAGCATCTATAAATTAGTAATTAGACTTATAGAATATTGATGATAATATTTATTATGAATTAGTAATTAGACTTATACAATATTGATGATAATATTTATTAATAATGTAACTATCAATTAAAAATTTAAATTTTTATTAAAAACAAATTTACAATCAAATAATTAATTAATACAATGTTATGTCAAAATATGAACTAAAGAAGAAAATTAATAATAAATAATTGACACTCAACCAATTATTTATTATTTGTTCAATTCAAACTTATTTAATCTAAATTAATACCTTTTAATTATTATCAATTCTATTAAAAATCAATTTTCTTCAACTTTTTCTAAATTTTCAACTTAATAATAAAATTAACAAAATATAATCAGTATCCATTAAATTACTTATCACTTTTTCAATTATAAAACATCTAGATTATAATATCAAATTCAATTTCATCACAAAATAACAAAATTCAATTTCCTCTAAATATCAAACAAACCTTAACATAAAAATTATACATTATATAATAAAATTATCTTGAAAAAAGTTGAAAAATATTTAATTATAAAGCAAACTATAAATACTATATAAAAATTTCAATAAATGAATCTAAACCATTAACGGGTTAAAAAAAAGGATAAGTTAGTGTAGTGAAACTTCATAAAAAATCAAACCAAGAGAGAGATATGCTAACATTACTGATAGATCGATGTAGGTGAACGTTGATGAGTTGAATTTGTGAGGATGGGGGCAGATTTTTCAGGTTGGGCTACTATCTATTTGGCTGAAAGAATAAGAAACGGAAATAAAAAAATTTATTAGCAATTCAGTAATGTACTAACATGTTATATTGCGGATGAAATTTTTTATTAAATTTTTATTTTGTTAGAAATTATTAATGAAATATATTTCATCACTATTTTTTGTAAATTGAATATATAATTAAAATTATATTTTTAGACATGGGTTGACACATGTCATCATATAATTGGATAAACATTAATTAATTTATAGGATTTGATCGATGTAACGTAACTGGCAAACAGAGAGGCGAGACAGAATAATAAAAGGAATGACTTGTGCTATTCAATTAAAAAAAAAAAACTTGTATAGCTAGGCATGGATTATAGATATTTAAAATAACAATATTAATTGCTACAAAAAATAATTGGCATGGATTATAGATATTTAAAAGAACAATATTAATTGCTACAAAAAATAATTAAGCATTAGTTAAACTTAAACATCACGGGATAGTATTATTTATTGAAATAAGCTACCACATGGAGTCGGCTTTTTGATATTTGCAAATATGAAGTATCATATAGAGGCAGATACATGCATGCATGCATGCATACATATATATAAACACTAACTCTGGCTCTGCATGATTGCCCGAAGACTGCTCTTTTAATGTTCTTGATCGGGTAGACCAATTGGAATTGTTGAAGGTCACACCAGCATCACCTGGGGAGTCCGAACCCTAGCTAGTAGCTACACCATGATCAGAACATCATAACCATTGGCGGGCAAGAATTAAATATTTAATTGTTTTTTACAAAAGCAATGTTTATTGTTCTTTTTATAGGAGATTTAAATGACAGTAATGATTTTTTGCTATTTTTGACAAAACTGACATGGGGCTGCGTCCACCTGTTTTGCTCCTCTTTAACATCTTCTCTACAGGACGATACCTTTTAGCTCCGACCAAGCCTGATGCAATCGGCTAGGTTCTCTCAGATCTTGATACGTGTTCGTGGAACCATGTGTATGATTCGGAGAGCTCTTTTTTCAGTTTAAATCCTACAAATATTATACCATCAATCTATTTATTTAATTTATATAATGTTATTAAATAATATAAAATATTAAATTTTTAAATAAAATAAAATAAAAAATAAAAAATAAATTTTATTTATTTAATCAGATCCAGTTCAATGTATTTTTATAATTTTAAACTAGGTTTGATCTCCATTATTCACGTAAATAATGAAAATATTGTTTATTGTTCAAGTAAATAGTAAAAAATTTCTTTATTATTTTATTTAAATAAATATGAAGAGTTACACAGTTAAAAAAATATATAAAAATTACTTTTTTAAGATACGGTTTGATCTTAATTTTTAGGGGGGGTTTATGAGTGGACAGTTAAAAGTTATGTAGGTAGTACAAAGAACACAGGAGAAGCATATAAAATTTACTTCTTCTAAGTTAAGGTTCAACCTCAATTTTTTAGGTGGAATTCATGTAAAAATATGGTTTGCATTAACCAAATATTTTAATTCAATGTTTGCTTCTTGTTGCTGTCGTTGCTGCAATGCCAAACGGCACTTCAACTCCTCGCATCTCCTTTTGCGTTTACACAATTATGAAAGAGAGAGGATTTTTTATATAGGTTAATCATCAAACTAAGAAGGAGCTAAAATCCAAGAAGGAGAAGGAAAATATGCTTTCGTCTCTCCTTGATTTCCTCTTTGTATCATACATCCACACTCACCACTCTTGCTTCTTATTTTTTGAAATCCATGATGCTTCTTGATTAATTTTAAATGAAAATTCTTTAATTTATAGTATCATGTTTTAATTAATCAATCCTAAAACATTTAATTTAATTTAATTAGTTAAATCTTGAATTTACTTAGTATAAATTAACAATTTGAATTTTATAAATTGTAGGGATATTAAAAATTTATATAATTATTAATTTTAAAATTAATAATATTAATTAAGATATACATAAACTAAAGATAATATTTATACTTAAAAAAACATCTAAACTTTTTTTTTAAAAAAAAAAAAAACCTTCTACGAATATAATCCAACTATTTTTTTTAATTTATATAATATTATTAAATGATATAAAATATTAATTTTTTAAATAAAATACAATAAAAAATAAAAAATAAATTTTATTTATTTGATTAGATTTAATTTAATATATTTTTATAGTTTTAAATTAGGTCTAGTCTTCATTATTCACATCAACAATGAAGATATTTTCTATTATTATGAAGAAGTTTTTTATTGTTCACTTAAATAGTAAAAAGTTATACAGGCAGGGAAAGTATATAAAACTTACTTCTTTTAAGTTAATATTTGATTTTAATTTTTAGATGGGATTTATGAGTGGACAGTAAAGAGTTATGTAGGTAGAAAAAAAACATAGGAAAAGCATATAAAAATTACTTCTTTTAAGTTAAGGTTCAACCTCAATTTTTTAGGTGGAATTCATGTAAAAAAATATGATTTGCATTAACCAAATATTTTAATTCAATGTTTGCTTCTTGTTGCTGTCGTTGCCACAATGCCAAACGGCACTTCTACTCCTCGCATCTTCTTTTGTGTTTACACAATGATGAAAGAGAGAGGATTTTTTATATAGGTTAATCATCAAACTAAGAAGGGGCTAAAATCCAAGAAGGAGAAGGAAAATATGCTTTCGTCTCTCCTTGAGTTCCTCTTTGTATCATACATCCACACTCACCACTCTTGGATCTTATTTTTGAAATCCATGATGCTTATTGATTAATTTTAAATAAAAATTCTTTAATTTATAATATGTTTTAATTAATCAATCCTAAAAAATTTAATTTAATTTAATTAGTTAAATTTTAAATTTATTTCGTAGAAATTAACGGTTTAAATTTTATAAATCGTAGGGCTATTAATAGTATTAAAAATTTATATAATTATTAATTTTAAAATTAATAGTATTAATTATGAAATACATAAACTAACTATAACATCAATACTAAAAAAACATCTATACTTAAACCAAAAAAAAAAAACCTAAAACAGCAATCGGTGGGGAGATGATAAAAGTGGGATTTGCTTTTGTCTCCAAAAGCAAAAGGAAAGCTATTTTCATTTTCCACGCCCATGCTTGACTAGCTCCAAGGACTATGAATCAACTGGGGTGGCTTGTGTTGGATCAGTTTGAGCAATGATCTCCTTCCATATGATTATCTATTTCTGTCCATATTGTAGACTAGAAAAGGTGTAAATAAAGTAAAAAAAAAAAACTAGCTAGCAAAGAAATCACCCCACAAACAAGACAAATGACAAACCCAACAAACATCCATACAATTGCTTAGACATGGCCATGTCCTTTTGGCATTTCACTCTGCTTCACAGTTCACACTGCTACTTCTGTCCTCTCCTTCTCTCACACTCTTCTCATAAGAACACAACAAAACTCGTATCCAACATTCTTTTTCAATCTCAAACCCCGAATCCTCTGTTCATCATCTCCACAAGAAGCTATCTAGCTAGCTGCCTAGCTCTCACCAGTCACCACTCTTTATAAACCCATCTAACTCTTCTTTTATATATAGGTCTAAGAATGTAGCAGTGCCTTTTCTCTCTATATATTATCATCAGTTACCTTTTCTCTTTTAAGACCCACCATTCTCTCATAACTTCCCTTCAAACTCATTTTTCATTGATCTTTCTCGAACCAAAAAAACCTCTCAATGGCTACTTCACTTTCACTTTTTCTCATGCCTAGCGATGATAGAAAACAAGAATCCACCCTGGCCATAAGTACGAAACCAGCTGAACCCACAAGAACTACTACTACTACTCGGACCAGAAAGCCTACTGCCAACAAATGTCAAACTCGCAAAAAACAACCTCGAAGAGGTATGGGAGTAGCTCAACTTGAGAATTTAAGGATTCAAGAAAGATGGAAGGCAATTACTGAGACTAACCAAATTGGGTCTCTCAATCTCCAACCCACCAAGCAGATGCACGTTTTTGACCCGTTTAATAATAATGATGATGATAATCAAATGGCGCAGTCTGGTACTACTGTTAACCATGGTGTGCCAATGAGAAATAATGGTGTTGTTTTTAATGGGTTCTTGGGTTGGGATCACCAGGGAGGTGTGGTGGTTAAGAGGGTTGATGAGTTTAATGCAAATAATAATGGTGGGTTTGGGTGCCAGGTTTTGGTTAACCCGTACATGGTTGGATCGGCTCCGGTTCATCAGGCTGGGGCTCCAGCTCCAGCTCCTGCTGCTGCAGCAGTGCTTGAGGCTTCGAAAGAGCTCTCTTCAATCCCAAAAGTAATGCAGCAGCAGAAGCAACATGAGCCTGCTCGTTGTGATCTTTGCTTTAAGGTTTGTGTTTTCTAGGGTTCTTCATTTTCTTGAGAAATAATGGTGTTGTTTTTATATGCACGCGTGCCTCTTTTTTTTTCCCCTGTTCGTTTCTTGAGGAATTATATAAGAAGGAAATAAATTATAAGCTACAAGATATTTTAGCAGTCTGGAATTTCAATCTTTTTAAACAATGTGATTAAAATCTTAAATTTTTACTATTTTAATTTCTATGGACAGATGGGAGGATTCAGTGCCAGAGCTGCAACGAGTGCTTTCTATGCCAAATATCAGAACCACAACAACAACGAGGTAAATCTCCATCTTTCTTTCAAGTGGTATGTATAATATTTTGGAACCATGCTTCTTATAAATACTATATCTAATAATTGTGTTTTAATTTGTTTGAGTCTTGATTGGACGGTAATTCATGTGGATTTTGTAGGGTGTAGAGGCGATGGAAGCACACAGGAAGGGTAGTAACGCAATGGGTAGAAAAGTTATCATGGAATATGAACTTTTCCCTGGAAAAAATAGTAAAAGCACCTGTTTCAAGGATATGGAATTTCCTACTGCAGAAGCTTCAGTTGCAGTGGGTACTGGTGAAGCTTCTTGTGTCACAACTTATTCTGATTACAGTGCATCTGATGCTTCTAATTCTATTGATTTGTCTCTGAAGCTTTCATATTAATTAGAACCAAGAAATTAACATGTCTAGTTTTGGTTATGATGTCTTTTCTTGATATATGTGTGTCGTGTGATTGCCTGAACCTAAACACAGCTTCTTATAATTTCCCTTTTGTTCTTAAACTAATTAATTTATAGCAATGCGAAAACAGTGCAGTACATACGCTTGCTTTATTTAATCGATCTCTGATCAATGTCAGTGCTTTAACTTTATTTCCCTGCTTTTATGATCTTGACATTGTTTTTCACTTTTGCTTATGATCTATCTTGTTCCTTATCAAGAATTGAGAAACATAGCCACAAACGAATTGCTTATGATCTATTTTGCATTTCGAGGCATTTGGTCATTACAATACTATCATACAATTATGCAGTTGTCACACTGTGCTGGCTTGTTCTAGCTGTGTAATAAGGAGGGACAGACCGTGATCTGTGTATATTTTGATCTGCTTAACTTCTAACGGTTTCTACAATTAATGTTTACAATTGTCACATACAAAACATTTAATTACAAATCTTGTTTTATATTTGATTTGTTGCTCTTCAATATTGTATGAAGATAAATATTACACTTCTGTATAACCTGCTAAAATGACTTCACAAGGAGGCTCAAAACCCTAGCAAGGAGCATTTCTCTCTCTCACTGCTCTTTATTGTTTATGCTAGAAGATAGGTGAGAGATTTCTCTTCCAAACATAGGCTACATCTTTTATGTGCTGAAACACAAGGAGGGCATCTCTGCATTACTGTTTATGGGAGTCAAGCAACTTTTAGGGTCTGCTTTGAAAAACGTGAAAAAGATAGATAAAAAGCAAGCTATAAAAAAAGCTAGCCTTCCTTCCTCCTTGGCAGACACATTGTGGTCACTGCTGTATATATATGTGGTCAGTGAGTGGCTGCGGCATGCGAGTGAGTACAGACCCAGCTACAACAAAATATTTTAACCACAATACAAAATCTGCAATATACAGAGGAGAGAAGCTGAGTGTAAATATATTTGTTTGGTTAAAATAATAGTTAAAGTTGTTATTTAATAAAAAAAATATTTAAAATGTATGATTAAAATTATAATTGAGGTTGCTAATAAAATGATATAAATAATTAGTGAGAATTACAAAATATATATATATATATATATATATATATAATTTACGAATATAAAAACTTGGATATTAGCAAATTTTTAACTTATATAAAAACTACCCAGCATTAACTTTTTTTTGGTTTGGGTAACGAATTTAACAATAATAAAATACAATTTAATAAAAAGCATAGGAGTAATGTAGCAAAAGCATGTAGAGACTTTGTTTGTTTTTATGTTTTAAAAGTTTTTTGAAAAAAAATAATTTTTTATACTTTTTTGTTTTAAATTTAAATATTTAAATTATTTTAATATACTGATATAAAAATAATTTTTTAAAAATAAAAAATATTATTTTAATAGATTTCCAATTAAAAAATAATCATAACCATACTTTCAAGTAACTTTTTTAGAAATTGAGTTCAAAACTCATTTAATGATGATCTCTTAAATAAAAATAATATTTTATTTTATAATCAAATAAAAAAAATCACAATTAAATAAAACAAATATCACAAACACGGAACCAAACATAAACATGCTATAAGATTTTAGAAGCTCTTTTCCAACCACTTCTAACCAGCTTTTTATTTTTCTTCCCATCTTTCTTGTAGTTTTATTGTGGGCAAAAAGCCATTTACACTAATTTCCTTTTTATTTTTTTTTCTTTTTTGGCTAATTAATTTCCTCTTCAGTTTCTTTTATTTGTTGTGCTGCTTCAAACTTGTGTGTTGGTAATGTAAAAGAGAAAAAAAAAAGCCTTTGAGTTGTTGCTGCATCATTTTGTTTAATTGTAAAGATATTTTTATACCAACTTATATTTTGATCAAAATTATTTTTTTTTCAATCCGATTTCTATTTTAAAAAATCATCTCTATCAACTTGATATACTTAAAAGAATTTAATAATTCTCTCTACCTATTATCTTGATACATCATCATTATTATTAATTTAATGGTTGTACCTTTATGATTTTGTGCCATGCACTAGCTTGAACATTGAAGAATGAAGATTTCTAGAAGTGTTTAGTGTTTTTTTTTCCTTTTTAAATATGATCAATGTTGGATTGGATGGACATAACTAATTAAATTTTAATTTTTTTAAAATACAAAAACAAACAGATTTAACTCCATATTAAGCATTAATTATTTAATTAGGATATCTCTCCTAAATCATCATCAACTTTATTTGGTTGAATGAGTTGATTAAAAAAGTGTCAAAATAGTTAGTTAATATCTAGATTTTACTTTCACACATGGTAATTTTAAAGCTATTTTTTATTTAATTATATAATAATTAAAATAAATATTTAAAAGATTTTATAAGATTTAAATTATAACATAGAAAATTTATTTCTTAAATCAAAGTCTTCATTCTCTGTATCTGCATCTTTTTATTTCAAAAAATACCTTTTATATTAATAACATCATTTTTTTTAACAAGAATCTAAGTTAATTAAAAAACTATTTGCAAGAATATCAATAATTTAAATTAAGGAGTGAGAAAATTTGTTTTTGAAAGTAAAAAATCCATTTTCTTACTAATTTATTTTCCTTGGAAGAGAAAAATATTTTAATTTAATTTGTAGCTTGTTCCTAATTAAAAAAAAAACTTATCTTCGAATAAAAGGCAATTTTTAAGAAAAACATTATGATTATAATTTTTATGTGGCTATATGAAAAAAAA